AACCCTTTCGGATGTTTGATCGTTTTCAAAGTAACAGCCAACAAAGACCTTGATACAGATATTATTGTAAATAAATGATGTCATTATGACATCATCATATGATTTACTCATGTTTTTTCAATATTTATTTCAGCCCCTTGACTTTGTACACGTTTTCAAGGCAGCATTTGGGTTAGTTTGAGAGCTTTGATCAAGAATACTTATCTTGTTGGTAAACCAGTCCCAAAACAGCTCTGTTTTTGTACTTTTGTTTACAAACACTTCTGTCTAGTGTTTTCTTCTTCTTCTTCTGACCCAAACCGCCTTTATTTTGTACACATTTCTTCCACTATCCACTTTAGTCCCTTAGCAACTTTGGATCTTCAGCAAACTTACATCATTGAAGGACCCTTGTCTAAAGATGTGCATAGAACAATGACATCATGATGACATCATCAGTGATTTATTATTGATTTTTTTCTATTTATTTCAGCCCATTGTACACGTTTTCATTTTTGTACACGTTTTCATAACACTATTTTGGTAATTTGGCGATCTTCAATTGTAAGCAAAGTTACAGCCAACAAAGACCCTGATGCAAAGATACGTCCAAATTTATGACGTCATGATAACGTCATCACGTGATTTATTATTAAAATTTGAATATTTAAATATTCTGTTAAATATATAAAAATCCATATAAAATCAACCGTGGCCTCCCGCAACATTCTGTTTGCAGCAAGTGCCAGGATAAAATGAATTCGTCTCGTTTAGGTCAAATAACGTGACCCTTCCTTTCTGTTGAAACCTGAAGTGGGCTTATTGTTTAAAAGTGGTAAAAGCCATTAAGTTTTTTTCAATGGAATTAGTTCGTCGGTTTTAGTGCTGGGTTGAAACCCTGCTTATATCTTGGAGAGGAAGTGCTTTAGGCAAATATTGAGCTCATTTAGTGATGACGTCATCAACAATTGCTTTTTTTCGTAACGGACATTATCGACATTATCAAAATGTCAAATGTTATTAATTTTGTCTGGATTTTACTTTTTCACTGATTAAAAAAGGGGCGTGACACCTGATGATCTGCATGGGGACATATTAAGTCCTGAATCCCAAACAGGACGGGTGATGAAGTCAGTGACAACACCAGACCCTTAGCTTGCAGATCCCATGTGGCGTCGTTTGCCAATGAATGTCAGGGTAGTTTCGAAGTGTATATCATACAATACAACTTCTAGTCACAGTTATCAAAAGTGAAATTCATTTTTGCACCAAAATGTTCAGGATAGTGCAACAGATGTCATCTATAGTGGTCCTGCAATCTTTTTCTTATATTTTGTACACAGAAAATGTGAAATGCGCAATCAATTACTGTTATGTTCGATATAATCAAAGAATTTTGGTTTTTTAGAGTGGCAATGCATATCTATGATTATGCAAATAAGGCGGGGTTGCAGACCGATGTGAACGGAAAATACACTCTTTAAGGCCCTGTATCTCCTGAAGTACATGTCCGATCGGGTTCAAATCTTGCAGATATCTTGAATAGAGAGTGCTTTAGAGGAAAAGGGACCTTATGTGATGATGACGTCATGAAGAGACAAGTCACGTGACATTAAAGTTGAACTCTTGAAGGCCCTATATCTCCTGATGTACATGACCAATCAGGTTCAAATCTTGCAGATATCTTGAGAAGGGGGTGCTTTAGATGAATATTGACCTCCTGTGATGATGACGTCATCAGGAGACAAGTCACGTGACATAAAAGGTGCACTCTTCAAAGCACTATATCTTGTGAAGTACATATTCGATTGGGTTCAAACCTTGCAGATCTCTTGAAAAGGAAGAGTTTTAGACAAACATTGACCTGATGTGGTAAGGACTTCATCGTGTGACTAATCACGTGACATTAAACGTACATGTACATTCTTTACAACCTTTACAAGCCAATATCTTGTGAACTACATGTCTGATTGGCCTGAAATTTGGTAAAACTTGAGATCCGCTTTCCAGCTACTATTCTTGGCCCGCGCTTGAGCGAACACAGTGAAAGAAAGCTCTTGTGTATATGGTGGTGGGCCTTTGTGTGTTGCCAAGAAATGAAAAGGCCGAATTTTCATCATAATCACCAGCTTCACAATAGTCCCCACTTTAAAAAGAGGCAACAGGAACGTGGAAGCATGAATAGAGCTGCATGCCATTGAACAATGAGCCTTTTCACTGTGTAAATCAAAGCGTGCAGAGCACGCAGGGCCACAAACGGAGAATTTGTGGTGTGGCCGTTGTGGTCAAGCGAGGCTAGAATTCTTGGAGTCAGCTTTCAGAAAAAAGTCACGGTGTCAAGGGGTTGTGCAGACGGTAATTTTCACCAGGCAGTCACACTGCATGCAGGTTGCAGTATGAAAGGCCATGCAGAAAATCACATTGTAATAATACCACCCAAATTGAATTTACCTGTGAGCATTGAAACTCAAAAATTATAATAATAATAACAATAATTGAAACACAGCTTTTGATTGCCAATTTCTGTGGCCAATTTTTCATCCCTGAACATTTTAACCACTCTTTACATGGCATCTTGATGCATGTGCAATAATGCATGTGCTGCCATTAAATTTGAGGTCTGCTTACTTTTACCATGAATATTAAATTTTAGGCCTCATTATTATTTTTGCATGGAATACCTGTATGTTTTATTGACATGTTCTTTTCATGGAAATTAACAGCTTTCTAGGAATTTTGTGCACCACAGGCATGTACATGTATGCAGTTGTAGAGGGAGAAAATCTTCCTAGGACCATTAAGTTTCATTGGTCATGCAGTAAAGTGAGTGATGAGTTGTAGATTCTGAGGTTTTGACAGTGGGCAGCCAACTTTCTGAGTGTGAGAATAAAAGAAAGTCCACATATGAAATACTGCTTGTATAAAAGAATATTTCTCATTTTGAATCATGTCATCCTGAATGTTAAAGAGAAATGTTATGAGCACAATACACCGATATGTGTCTTGTTTGCCATGTTAAACTTTGTTGACACCTTAGTTTGCCATTGTCTCACATAGAGTGGAGAATGTGAAGTTGTGAACCACACTACCAAGGAATGTTGCAGAATCAACTACAAACCGTACAGCTATTTTTCTGGAGACACACCTCGAAAGGTAACTCATCATTCTCCGCACATTATTATATGCACACTTTACAAATTTAT